CATTCATATTAAATTATTATTTTAACGTAGATTTATATCAATAGACACTATAAGGTTTGATTTGATTTTCACTTCAGAACATTTTAAATGAAAATATTTTTATTTTCATAACATAAAACAAATTTCTAGATATTATTTTTGAAATCTTTTTCAAAGATAAACAAATTCACTCAGATGAAATTAATTAAATTTTATTTTCAAATATAAAAACAAATTTTCTTAGATAAATTTTAAATTAAATTTAAACTACAATTAAATCAATTCAAATCATTTTTATTTTAGAACATTTTAAAATAACATTTTTTATTTGCATTTATTCATCCCTTTCACTCAAATATAAACAAAATCTTTTCTGTTTTAGGACAATCAATTCTTGTCAGTCATATTAATAACAACACCAAATGGAAACAACATGGAATTACTATAGCTGGAGAAAATGGACAAGGCGATCAATCAAATCAACTCTCTTTTCCTCAAGGTATCTATGTTGATGATGATCATCGATCTATTTATATTGGTGATTGGGGAAACCATCGTATTGTGGAATGGAAATATGGAGCAAAGAATGGTCAAGTTGTTGCAGGTGGAAATTGGAATGAAAATGGAAGTGATCAGTTGAGTTTCCCATCAGATGTGATTGTTGATAAAAAAAATGATTCTCTCATCATTTGTGATAGAGGAAACAGACGAGTGGTACGATGGCCTCGTCAAAATGGTAAAAATGGAGAAATAATAATTCCTAACATTCATTGCTGGGGATTAACAATGGATAAAAATGGAGATCTTTATGTTTCTGACACAGAGAAGAATGAAGTGAGACGATGGAAACAAGGAGAGAAAGAAGGAACAATAGTAGCAGGTGGAAATGGAAAAGGAAAACATCTCAATCAACTCAATCATCCTACTCATATCTTCGTTGATGAAGATTATTCAGTTTATGTATCGGATTCTGAGAATCATCGTGTGATGAAATGGGTGAAAGGTGCAAAAGAAGGTATTGTTGTCGCTGGTGGAAATGGTCAAGGGAATAGTTTGACACAATTGTCTTATCCTCGAGGAGTGGCCGTCGATCAATTGGGTAATGTTTATGTGGCTGACTATGACAACCATCGAGTGATGCGTTGGTGTGAAGGATCTAAAGAAGGTAGTATTGTTGTTGGTGGAAATGGAAAAGGAGAACAATCAAATCAACTCTTTAGTCCCATAGGTTTATCATTCGATATTGAAGGTAATCTCTATGTTGTCGATTGGCAAAATGATCGAATACAAAAATTTGATATTGATTCAGAATTCAATTTATATGGAGATTTTGGTAAACTCACATCACAAATGAGTGATTATGATATGAATACACAAGGGATTCAAAAATCATTCTTATTCAAAGAGCAGAATCAATTAACTATTGATTTCAATATTGGTGAAGCAAACAAGTCGACTGGTAAGTTCATTAAGAGATAATCTATGATTTTTTGGACGAGTGATCTATATAAAAATGAATATTTTAGAGACTAACAAATTTTTGGAAACTCAGGAGGGCAAAACTCGTTAGGAGATATGACTTATCCTATATAAGAAAAACTTGTTTTTTGTTAATGAATTAGTCATTTTAGAAGATAGAAGGGGTGTGGGTGTGGATATGAGAGACAATTATAATATCCATAACGATATTCATCCCAACCTCTACCCCTGCCCACATTCACACCCACACCCTCCAGATGACACGAAATGAAATAGATTCAGAGCGAAATAGTTTACTGAACAGTTATTTTACCGCACTAAATATAGAAAATTCGTAACTACAGTAATTCATGTAAGACAAGCAAAGAAACCTGTTGAATGGGTAGTTGTTATGTTTCTCTGAGCAAATATTAAGATCTCAAAGATTCAGCAACACACTTTTGCACGTGGTACAATGAATGAATAGCATAGTACGAATTTTTTCGACTACAATATCTTTTAAAAACCTAATTGAAAGCTTTCTTTTGCTGTGAAATGAGGAAAGCTTTTTATACTAAACTTATGATATCACAAAGTTTTGGTGGAATTTTTTACGTTTATACGATCGTCTGAAGACATACTAAAGTTTTACAAAATCCCATAGAGCTCTTTTCAAATATCTTATCTCGTAGAATAAAAGGTCTAGCAGTAAGGTTTGATGTTCATTCAGCATATGAACTAATTAATTTTCTTTGTTTATATTGCTTTAGTCGAGAAACCATCAATACATAAACTTCAGTATAATAATCAACCGATAGTTTATGTAATCGATCTTGCACTGCCGTCCATCGGTTTGGATTCAGACATCGCAAAATTGGTGACATATAACAAGAATAGTCAACTTGCCGACGTTATACGTGAATTGAATCCGACCATTCCTTTTTACATACTTGCTTCTATGCCACCATCTGACGAGATCATGTCACGTGCACAACTTCTGCGTTACTATCATCTTCAGACTTCACCTAATGAACATGTTCAAACAGATTTAAACGTTAATGATCGCGTTACCAGCATCGATTCGATTGATCACTTCGCTGGCGAGCTTTACGAAGATTTGGGACAATATTATCGAGATAAAGCCGGAAAAGCCCTATTTGATCACCAAGATCGACACAAGGCTAAACAGCTCTTGATGAAATCGGAAAAATGCTTTGAAATATTAGAGCGTGATATTGAGAAAAACATTGAAACGCTACGAAAATTTAGCAGAAGAAAAATAACAAACTGATTGTAAAAGAAGATTTCATTCTCACCTTTTCTTCAAGAACCTTGTTGTTTCATTTAATATGTTGTATAAGCACTCATATTATATATTTCAGATAAAAACACACTTCAAAGGTGATATTATCTAATTTCGACGAACGACTCGACCATAAACCTAGAAGATATGGTAAGTTTCGTGCAATATCTTATTATAGTAGTAGTATTCGAAGATTACACAAAAGGAAATATTTTTTCTTTACCTGTAATCAATAATAAATTCAGTGTTATCTCTCTGAAAATCTAATTCAATTTGAAATAATGCGATACTACTGCGTTGCAGACAAAAGTTAAATATTCTATTGAAATCATAAAACGACCTAGTAGTCAAATTTTGATGAAAAGAATATAAAAACACGAAATATAGATATTGAAGTAAACGAACTTCACAATTTATGATAGTACAAAGGTGCGCCTTTTCTTATTTGCAAACAGAAAGGCAGTTAGAGAGAATTAAGAGCTTTAGGTTATTACATCTATTCCATATGATCCATACTTTATTGCAAACAAAAAGCTCTCTTTCGTTTAGGCAGAACTTCAACTCGGCAATGCTAGACCTGTTCAATTATTTGATGATGAACCTCACGTATTATTCTTGCACTTGAACGTATCTTTCAATCTCCATCAACATTTACGCCCTTATAATGGTATAGTAACTGTTTTCAATAGTGAAGATGCTCTCCTCGATCAAATCGCTAAATCTAATCAGTTATTTGCGGTCATTGCCCTGCTACCAGAGGAAGATTTAGATCGAGTTCATAGCTTCAATCAAATCAACTTTAAACCATATGCAACTGTCGATTATATTTATTTACTATATAAAATACATTCAATATATGTCACAATTAAGCGAAATCGTCATCAAAAATTAAAAGATTGGCAATCGATCACTGATAATACGCTGGAAAGAGTCATATTCATCTGTTCAGTAACATTGGATCGTAACATAAAGTATTGTAAAGACCATGCTCGTAAGAGCGCTCGAGATGGTGACAACGCTTTAGCTGCAATCTATGAAAAACAGCGGGTCGAGCGAAATCGGCTTCGAAGAGCGTCTCTACGGCGATTTCGGTATTTGATATAACTAATTATATCAATTAGAGACAGTCCACATAGATTTATTTAATAATAAATGATAAACATGATATTCATCTTGTGATTACAGACACTTCTATAATTTTCTACAGAAAACATGTCAAATATACTTAGCTTATCCAGAGTAGTTTATTTCATACTATTTTACAAGTAAAGCTTTCGATTAAGTGGAAATTTTTGAGTTATAACTAAAAAAGTGCACAAAAAGGAATATTTTGACCTAAGTGTTTTTTTTATTGTATGAGCATAAAAAGAAGTGAAAAGATGTTCTGGGAGTTTTAATGAATAATTTAGATTTTCTTGAAAAGAATCGATCTTTTAGTAAATATTGATAACTACATTTTCATGAAAATATACAGAAATAATATGTAGAAAACAACATTGTCATGAACTTTGTGGAATCCTGTGATTATTTTCAAGCAAAAAACTTTTTATTAATAAGTGCGTATTTTGATACTTTACGAAATATTCAAAATTCAATTTAATCTCTCAAAAAGTAGTTGCATAACAGAAACAAGAAGGATAAAAAAGATAGTATGTGAAATAGATCAAAATATGGTCGATTTCACCTATTATAATGAAAAAAATTGTATAAACAAAAATAATTTAAAAGCATGATTTTTGACAGATCGATAGTTTAGATCAAGACAATTAGATCATCTAAATATTAAAAGACTTTCCTCATTTCAAAAAATGGAATTTTTTAGCAATCAGTTTTTACAATTTTGAATAATGATTTCATTAATCCTCTCTTAAAAGTTTCTGTAAATCTTTATCTTTTCCAGAGTCATAGTACTCATCTCATCGTTGAAAATAATAACACTATTCGATAAGAAATCAAAGTATACACTAATAGAATATATATCTCAAAACATGATGATTTATGTAAATTGTGTTTGACCTTGAATAATATAAAATATTGTAAAAAGTGTGAAGTTTATCTAACAATGAATTTGAAAATAAACTTTCTCATCTATTCTTTTAATCAAAAGAATAATAAAACATTCTAACACGTTAATGTTGAACAATATTATATCTACTGTTTTTTGTTATTAAATAAATATTTATTTTCAATTTCATTTCATTTATTAATGTCACAATGTGGTATGCTAAAAAATAATATATCACGACGACTTGAATTATCAACATATGGACGTGTATTACTTGTTGAAGAACAATAACAACAAAATTTACTATTAACATCATCATCATTAACACCATTATCGTATTAAAATGATCAATTTCTCGATCGAATTTCTAGTGATTTAGCAACTAAGAAAATGATTGTTATTATTATTATAGGTCCAATATCTTTCGGTTCGGTTGATTTAGAACTTGATTCAGTTATATTAATCAATGAAAAATATAGTGGTAGTGAACAATCATTTCAAAAATGGATCATACGTCGTCAAGTAGATCAACAACCTGAAATTGTGTATCGATTTTCATCAATATTTTCTTTACGATCAAGACAAATAACTTGTATTTTATCAAAACGTAATCTAGGGGTGTCACTTTAACTTTGCTTTAATAGTTAAAGTTAAAGTTCTAACTTTAACTTTAACTGTTAAAGTGTTTTACTTTAACTTTAGTTTTTAAAGTTAAAGTATTTTAAAGTAATCTGATAACGGTCAAAACTGAATAAGGGAAACATTATGGGTGGCACGTTAACTTTAACTTTATTAGTTAAAGTTAAAGTGACACCCCTAATTAAATATTTCATTAATTCATGGTAATATTCATTTATTAAAAGAACGTTTACTACCTATTTTAAATTTACCATCTATTAAAGATTTTAAACAAGATCTTATTAATATTGCTCTTTATCAGGTATATATTCGACTTTTTTTTATTAATAGAGAACATTTTCTTGAGGGT